AAACTTCGAGTTATATAGATTACCTGCTGTTATGCAAGTGGGCCTTAGAAAACTTTGAGAAACTAGTTAAAAAGTGTATTTTCGAATATAAGGTTATTGCACCATAGAACTTGAAAGCTACGATGCTTACTTTTTCTGGTAGCTCTGGAAAGAAAACGAAAGTTTTATTAGCTGACTTTCAGAGGCTAGTAATAAAACAGTGCTTCGCAGGATAGGATTAGTCCTGAATTGGGTTTGAGAATTTCAAAGTCTAATTTTTCAACGTGTAGCTTAGTAAAGGAAACGAAAGCTCTCTTGGAAATATTTGGGAGAATATTAAAAAAAGTGCGATCTCTTGTAACTCAGAGACAAATAAATAAATAATTAGCTCGTGACGAGATTTTTAAATGTTTTTATATGTTTTACAACAGCCAATACCAAAACATATCTCATGAGAGAAGCTTTTTAAAGCTTATGTGGATTATATATTGATACGCACAGAGAAAAAAGCAACTTTGGGTCGACACTGTTTTACGTATATGGGCGCGCACTGCGTAACAGCTCTCTCTGGTTATCCTTAATTTAACCGCATGGAAATCTAACTCAAACCCTATATTAGAGATTCGTCTTGAGCTTAGTTGAAAAATTAGGTCTTGATGTAAATAAAATTATGGCAGAAATGATAATCTGTACTGAATATTTTAAAATCAACTTTCCTTTTCAAATGCTTCATACCTTTGACTTCCCCAAATTTAATCATCTTAACTATATTTCACCATTAATGTCAATTAAAAATGTCAAATTTCCACAAGTCTCTAATGACTTTTCTTTATCCTCAAATTAAACGCTCAGAGAGCTTTCTACCTTAAAAAAGCCCACATTTAATTAGGTCTAGTTCAACATCGGTTTTTGCTTATAGTTTATCGTTTGAGTATTTTCGAAATAGAAGTGGAGCTGGAAAAAGTGGTAAAATGGGTTCGATTAGGTGGTAAAGTAGTGCAAAAAAGCTAACTAGTAGGTGCAAATTGGTTAAATAAACAAAAACCTTTTCGGTTCTCAATTGATACTAAAAATGTCTATTAAATACGTTTAAAGAAAAAGAGAATTTGTATTGGCACAGTGCTCCGGCTACGAAAAAATTTAGTAGTCGATTTCAAATCAAAAGTTTTGTACTTTTAAATTTCATTAAGAAATTAGGTACTATTGTAAAATAAAAACAACTAACCAACACCTTTTCGATAAAATTATAAAAGAAAACAATCTAAAAATTCTAAGGTGACTAGTGCTAAGACAAAATTAATTTTTTGAATTTTTCTTAATTATTCAGCGTACACCAAAACGAAAGATATTTGAATATTAAATTTTCTTCTTGAAATAAAAATATTTGCTTTGCGCAACTAAATATCAATTTTTTCAAGGGATAGTGAACAACTAGCAACTACATACAGTACAGTAGACTATGGATATTAGAGTTTGCTTTAAAGCTTGCATAGTTTTTTAGTTTCATTAAACGTAAAACAGCTGGCAACCCTGTTGATTGCAGCGCAACTGGGCATTGTTTACTGCGTTTTCACGCGCAAACTAAATATTTTTTTTTTGAAATTTGGCATACGAGTAGTTACTGTATTTTCCGCTAAGTACTTATTTAAAGTGAGATAGTCATAGAGATACGAGTGAGTTTCTTCTTAACGAGATAAAATTTGTAGTTGTTTTGATTGTTGCTGTTGTTGGTTAAGTACCTCGAGGGAATTTCGTTGCACTTGGCATTCGATGTGGTGTCGGAACATTTGATTGCTGCACCGGTATTCGTAACGTAAGCATTGCCCTTAATACTTTTACCTCTGGCCGCGTTGGCGGTGCCCACAGCTGCAGACGCCTGCTGGGAAGCAGAGTTGGAGACGGTGGTTGTGGTGGAGGAAGCGGTAGGCGAAGAAGAAGCGGAGTAAGCGGCAGCGGCAATCGACGACTTGATGGCATTATTAACTCTTGAAGCACGCATTGGCGTTAACAAGGATTTGGCAGTGCTCGCTGGCGCTGTGTTGCTGGTGGTTGAGTGGTTGATGGAGGAGGAGGAGGAGTTGGATGTGAAGGCAGGTGCTGGCACTTTCGTTTGTGTATATGTATTTGTGTTGGTGTGTATGGGGGAACGGTTGTTCGCAAGTGTGACGGTATTTGTGGTTGTGGTAGTGGAAGTGGTTGGTGTTGACTGAGGGGCGCTTGCTACGCGGTAAGCAGTAGTCGGCGGCGCGGCAGTAGTAGTCGGACGCAATGTAGTTGTTGTGGTTGTGGTAGCTGGTCTATGAGTGGTCGTCGTCGTTGTTGTTGTGCTTGCGTATGTTGTTGCTGTGGCTTTGGCTTTGGGTGTGGTGTAGAGATTTTTGATCTCTTTCACTGCAGCATTGATTTCACGCTCTGACAAATCATCTACGAATTGTTGTGCGCTGCTCTCATCACTATCGCCTGCGAGGTAGAGTTGCAGTTGTTCCAGCACTGAAGCTGGTTCGAACTTGGTGCGCCCAGTGCTGGAGGTAATATAACCAGCATTCTGCAAACTCTCAGCCAAGGTGCGATCTTTAGTTTGCTGCCGATATTTGTTCGAGAACAGGAACTTCAGTGGCCGATCGGTCTTTTGTTCTGTGGACGAAGATGAGCTGGCGCTACCCGCCGATTCAATGCTGTTGTCTTGCTTCGCATCAATGGGCAGCCGCACCAAGGCTTCGGCGCGTGGACCACCCTCCACAGTCGATTCGTTTTCAATCGGTTTTCGATTGACCGACTTCTGTGCCGTTTGCCCGTACGCCGTAATAGTAGCCTGTTTCTGTTGCTGCTCGGCTTTGTAGGTTTCATATTTTTCGCGAGACTTCAGTGGTGCATTCGCGCTCAGTCCATTACGTTGACCCTGTATGGCCACGATGCGTGCGCGTTGCAGCGTTCGCCTTTTTGGATAGCCATCGTTGGGCGAAGACGTGACAGCTTCATAACTGGCTGCGCTGGCACCTGGGTAGCGTACTCTTGGCGCATAGGTTGTTGGTTCTTCGAATGCATTTACTGTCGCCGCAGAGTAACGTGAGCGTCCGCGTGGACGTGGTGTCTCCGAACTTTTTCCGCCGCCATAATCACTTCCCAGGGCTTGTTCTCTCAGTGTGTTTTGGCTTGAAACTGCTTGTGCGATGCGTATAGGCGCGGTAACAATGACTGTGGACATCGTCGTCGGTGTTGTACTCTCAGTTGTAGCCTCGGTGGTGGGCGCTTTGGTGGTCGTAGTCGTCGACGTGGTGCTAGCCAAAGATTGCGGCAGCGCAGCAGATCTGGATGGTGTATTTGAAAAGGTGCTAAGTATGGTATCGCTCACGCTGAAATTCCGTATGCCTGTCGAAGCTGTGGCAAAAATCGAGTCACTAAGATTCCTTGGAGGAGTTGTGATGAGGAAGTAGCTGCGTAGCGGCTTGCTGGTGCTTAGTGTAAATGTGGAAGGTGTTGTTGGGTTCATATAACGTGGCTTAACGGTGCTGCGGAGTGAGTTTGCGCCCGTGTAACGATCATCTTTCTCTTGCAGTATAGTCTCAAGGCTTTTATATGGCGAGACGAAGCGCTGCGCAGGAATGCCGGTGGTTTTGATTAGGCTATCTTTGAAGCTGAGCTCGCGCGGTGTGTAACTCTGTACAGCGCGTTCTGTGGTGGGAAATACAAATGCGGGCGTTGGCGCAGGCGTCGTGGTTGTGGTTGTTGTCGTAGTTGTAGTTGTGGTTGTGGTTCTGGTCGTAGTGCTGCTAGTAGTACGTGGCGTTGTAGTTGTCGACGTTGTGGTGCTGATGCTCGTAATTGGACGCACAGTACTGGTTTCCTTCAATGCCGTCACCACGCTTTGCTCGCTACCCGAACTAGAGACATGGTCATCCTCAATATTCGTCTCCAAAACGATGTGCTGCAATGGCCGTGCGCTAGTGCGGCCCAAACGCCAGGCATTTCGCAAAGGCGGCGCGTATGTGGTTGGCACAATTTCATCCTCGTACGAAGCCTCGGGCAAGAGGGCTCGCTGTGTTGGCTTGTTTGTAGTTGTGCCGGTAGTGCTCGCGGATGCACTTGGCGTCACCATCGCACGGTTTGTCGTCGAAAGCTGTTGCGGCGTCACATTTGGTCTACGCTCATAGATGGGTTTCCCCACCTCCTCTACGCCTTGCGCGTGCAAACTAAAACCATTTGCACCTGTGTGTAGATTATATTTAAAGGGATTCGGCTCGTAGACTATGTTTGTGGGGTAACGAAGCGTTGTGCTGGATGCGGAGCTCTCACCGCTTATAAGCTCTAAAACAGTCTCAGGCTCTGGGGATGGCAACGCTACCTCTTTAACGGTCGGCACGGGTTTGAAACTCTGCGGCGCGACATCGGAGACAATATAGCTTTGCAAACGGCTCTTCTGTGGTGATTTCACGTCAGTTATTTTACCATAATACTCATTCGATTGCTTGCTGCTGCGATAGGCATTCTCGTGTGACCCATACTTTTCATGTGAAACAGCTTTACCACTAATTGCGCGTACCGAATTGCCATGCGAACCGTCAGCATACGTCTCCACTTTGTCAATGACAGCCAAAAATTTTGCCCTACCGTTAAGCGCAGTGCTTGACTCAAACGGACGACCAGCACTTCTAAAGGGTTCAGCTGTCTGTACGTGTACGTTTTGACTGGCGTATGAGATAGTTTCAATGTCGTCCACCGTTCGAAAACCTAACAAGGATGACTGGGACTGCGGTCTATTGGGTGTGTGAGACGGATTTCTGTTTTGTTGTTGTATATTTGGGTTGTGTGCGGCGAGACTGTGCGGCTTGGAGACTACCGTGACAAACGTCTCGTCCGAGTTTGAATATTGTGCACTGGGTTGGGGGTTTTCTGTGGATGTTGTCGTTGTAGTGGATGTTGGTATGCTTGTCGTTCTTTGCGTGGGAGTTGGGGAAGATGTAGGCGGAGTTGGAGATGGAGGTGCTGCTTTGATTGCGGAAGGTGGTTGTTGTGGTGGATTGGATTGCGTACGTTGGTTCTTTTGGTATATATTTGCATGCGTTTTAGATCTGTAGGAGAAATCCACATTTTCGGTTAATGTTAGTGTTGTTGTTGCTTTAGATATGGTAATTGGAAGAGAGAAAGAGAGAGAGAGAGAGGTGGTGGTGGTGGTGGCAGTTGTGGCTGTTTATACGTCAGTGGTAGTTTGTTGTTGGACATTCAACGACTTTAAGAAAAAGATACTTTTTAGACGCGCGAGTTTAGGTTAAATTGTATGCTATTACCAAGTTTATAGACAGTCGAATTATTAATATGTATACGGTATGTAGTTTAAATCACTGCTGCACAGTGCTGTATGAGCGGGCAAAAATCAAAAAAATTGTTGTCACGTATGTCAACGTGTTTGGTATCGTTGGAAAGAAAATTTATCCTAGATTAAGGATCTGGACTTAGTTTTTGTTTTATCTCATAAGGTTCTCACAAAAACCTCTTAAAGTTGTGTGTTTTTTATATATTTTTCCTTTTATGAAAATGCCTTTAGCTGGAGTCTTTAAAAAAAAATTGCTAAAAATACAATTTATCATACTTTATCTTAAGACACAATGTTTCTAATTAGAAAATCTGTAAGCAAACCACTCTATAGAGCTTTTTAAAAAATATTGAGTTTTCTGGCTGGAATGGCCTATTTGCTACACCCTAAAACTTGTTGCAGAAAATTTAAAAAATTCCTAAGTGTACAAAGGGATAAAAAAAATATGTAAAAATATGTTTTTTTTTTTATTCTTTTATTTGAAAGAAGCGGCATTTTTCTTTGAAATAAAAAAAAAAAAGTCTGCAGACTCATTGCGCTTTTCGAAGAAAATCGTTTTTTTTAAGGTTATAAAATAAACTTTTTCAAAAAAAAAATTTCACTGATTACAGTTACCACAGTATTTTCCATTACTTAAATGCCAAAACATTCTTTAAAAATAGTAAAGTTTATTACTGTAGACACACGCGGTAGTGTTCTGTGCTGTGTAGTGAAGCGTAAAATAGTGAAAAAACTAATATTAATATGAATTCAATTATAAAAAACTCAATTTTAGATGATATCTGGATTTCTACTCGTCCATCCGATAGAGTGTCTGCATTATCTGCATTTTTTGAAGACAAATTAATACACGCTAAATGCGACAAAGCACTTTTGAATCAAAAAATAAAACTTTTTAATAGTGAGATGAAAAATAAGTGGAATTATAGTGGCCGCAAAAGAAGCGCTTTTGAAAAAACATATTCTAAATGGCTAAATTGGACATTCATTTCCCTTCCGGATTCCAATGGAAATAAGGATAAATGTGCTGAACGGGGAAGACCTTCTAAAGAAGAATTTTGCGAAGCTTCACGGAGAACAAAAAATCGAAGGGTAGAGCATTTATTGAAAAACTATTCCATCGAAGAGCTCGAGTATGCTCTGAAAAAAATGAAAAAAGCAAGCAAAGTTGAATGTTTTGAAAGTAGTACCGAAGGTTTGCCCATATCTAATTCACTCGCACTATACATAGATCTGAACTTATCAGATCGTAAATATAATAGTTTACGTGCAAAAATAAACCGGTTGCATAAAGATTGTATACCGAGCTTAAACGCATTGCAAACAAAAAAACAAACTTTGCTGCCAACGATTAAATCGACTGAATATTCAGCCGAAGTTGATCTGAAATCATTATTGCTGAAAACAACGCAAAGTATTTTAGAACTAAGCCCAGATAATGGTGACATAACCAAAGCTTCTTTGGTTTGTAAGTGGGGCATGGATGGAAGTTCGGGCATAGCCGCTATAAGCAAAATTTTGGTGACAACAAATTAACGGATGAGTTTATGTTCATCATTGCGCTAGTCCCTCTGAGGTAACAAAAAATTATCTAATATGTCTTCCAAAAACATTCAATAGCTTTTAAAAATAAATTCGAGTTTAGATCAGTAAATGGCATTTTAATTTACATTGACAACTTTTTACAGTATTATTTTGCAATAGGCTGGTCTGAATTAATTAATTTACTCGATTAGCTATTTTGCGAAATGACGGTCTTATATCTTTTCGACAAGCCATATAAGTTATTAAAAAATAAATATTTTTTCCAGGTTAATTGATTTGTCATCCAACAAAAAATATATGGACCAATAACAAATGCTCATCGTCTTTTTATTGTCGTCCAATTAAGTTTAGTTTCAAGAAGGAAAACCGCGAACTAGTTCTATTCGAATATAATGATATGTCGAGAAAAATTGAGAACTTAGAAGATGATGTTGTAATACGAAACGGAAACGGGATTAAAGTTTCTTATCAAATGCATTGCACCATGATTGATGGATCTGTTGCCAATATTTTGACTGGCACTAATGCTTCCAGTAACTGTTTTATTTGCCATGCCAAACCGACCGAAATGAATGTTACTAATTTTACAAAAGTACCAATCGCTAATCATTACAAGTATGGGTTGTCTACACTGCATGCTTGGATTAGATGTTTTGAGTGTTTACTCCACATCGCATACCGTTTAACATTTAAATGCTGGCAAGTTCGCAAAGAAAACAAATACGCCTTTTCTGCGAATAAAGTTAGGATTCAAAATGAGTTTAGGACAAGATTAGGCTTAATAGTGGACCAAGTAAAGACTGGATTTGGAACAACTAATGATGGCAACACAGCTCGCAAATTTTTTTCAAATGCAGAAGTGGCATCAGAAATTACCGGCATCAATAAAGAGCTAATTCAAAATTTTTCAATAATACTGCGATTAATATCGTGTGGAATGCGTATTAATATCGACGCGTTTAGAGAGCTCCTTATAAGGACAAGAACAATGTATTTGACTGAATACGAATGGTACTACATGCCTAGCAGCGTGCATAAAATATTGATGCATGGGTGTGAGGTTATTGAGTATTTCGATCTACCAATTGATAAGAAAATCGATTTGTTGCTATTCGGCATTTTTTACTACTACGAATTTATTCCCACAGGCAATTTTTCAGAGGAAGCTCTGGAAGCTTTACATAAACACATACGTATCGTACGATATGATCATACACGTAAAACTGCTCGGGAGCATACAAACAGAGACTTGATGTCATACTTAACAATATCATCAGATCCTGAAGTAGTTTTTAAAAGGAGTGCTATCCCAAACAAAAATGCAGTTTATACAATGGACAAGCTGAAAGAGTATTTAGTCGATGCTGAAGAAACTTAAAAGTAATAAGCACCCTTCAGTCAACTCAATTAGTTTTATACTAATCAAATACTAGTCAGCCACACGGCCTCAACTAGTTCGAGTTCTGTAATTTTTCCATATAAGCAACTGGTATTTTTAACACGGCGATGTCCTACGAGATGGCAATTGTCCTCTTCTGCATCAGCACTATACCAGTTGGCATACTAGTCAGCCTCTGCATCAGCAATATATCAGTAGACATACTAGTCAATATATACATCAATATCATACCATTTAAGATACTAGTTCGTATATACGTCATGATCGTACCTGTTGGCATACTAGTCATTATATACATCAGAATCATAGCAGTTGACATACTACTCAGTCTATGCGCCAGAACATACTAGTCAGTATGCACGTCAAGATCCTACCAATCAATGAACTAGTGTGTGTTCGTGCGAAGTAACTAATAAAAAGGAAAACAACATTATATTTGTCTTTTGAGTATTTAATGTCGTCTTGAATGAATCAAATTTTTTAAGCGTGTGACATCCACACCAAAAGATATAATCAATTTAAAAAAACATTTTGTAGTCAAAAAGGACCAAAATGAAAGTAGCTGCCATTCCTAGAGGGTTTGCGTAAGAGAGATATAGGGAATCTTATTTGCCATGAATTAAGCCATAGAATGAAGCCTTGAAGTCTTTAATATTATTAGGAAAACGCCCTGTATAAATAATAAAATAACTACTCAGTATTGGAACTACTTCTGAATATCAAATTTTGCAGTTTCAATCTCAGTTTCCATGAAAAATGTAAGAGCTAGGTAAAAAAATATTGATTTTTGAAATCTCCGTACTCTAATCCACCAAGAAACGAATTTTTACTCAAATCCGTCCATTATTCTATTTTTGCCCACTTTTTATATGGAGACACAGCACTGTGTGCTGGAGGGAATGTCTTTAAAATCTTAATCACCAATCAAGTAAATCCATGATTATGGTGATGGATTAGTGAATTATTTACCTAGTGCGTAATGATTTGCGTGAGTCAATGGAAGTATATCCAAATTTTTTTTTTTTTTCGAAAATGAGGTAATGCTGAGAAAATTAGAGGCACCTATGTACTTCGCCGAATATTTTTGTAGTCAAAATAAAAAACAATAAAAATTAAATTTGGAAACGCATTGCTCGAAAACAAAAATATTAGTACTCCTGCAAAAAAAGCTTTCAAAAAACCAGCAGGCATCTCATGCAATTTTTTTCACTTCATTTCCATAGAGCCTATATTGGTTCTGGTACTCCTTCCTTTGCATGCAGTTAATGGTTGTGGTCACAGTAAGTCTTCAAACAAAAGTAAAACATGCAAAATATTGGCGAAAGCTTTAAATGTGCCATGCTGAAGGAAAAATTTGTCGTCGAACTGAATTGAATTTTGGACTATTCCGGAACAAGCCTATTTCTTAAGCTGATCCCTGAGTGAAAGAGTAAAGTGCTACTGTGCCTGGGCTTTTCTAAAAAAACTATTTCAAGATCTTTTTCATTCGGTAAAAAGGTTTTTCAAACTAAGTTTTGATATACTTTTTACTATGGGAATATGTATCTTCTTCTACGGCTCGAAATACATAACTCCCAAAACGCTCTCATATATGTATAAACTATAGCCGTTGTCGTTGTTTGGACTTAACAAACTGGATTGATTTCAATAACATTTTCGGAAGTTTTGCCTTGTATATATGGTCCTATTATAGGCTACCACAAAATTCGTTAGTATTCCATATATCGAAAATTAAATTTTTAACGAGATTTATTCCAGCTCGGATCCTGAACGGTATATGACCCTGCTGTATCATCCAGCTGAACAACGAAGTACAAAACTCATTACCATCTAGCAACGTTCGAATGGTGGAGTTTTATAAATAAGAAAACCCTATACATGGAATACGCGCTGTAGGCTTTTGCCGAAGAGTACGGCCTGAGATGAGCCCTGATTTCACTGGAGCCTGGCTAGAGCTTAAATAAATTGCTTTTGTCTGCTTCTGAGCTAAAAATTTCTTGCCGATGTTGTTTGTTTGGCATTCATTTTCTGGTTGGTAATCGTCTCAGTTGCTTGGTAGCGAAGAAAAAAAATAGGCTACAGCCGCAAAGATCTCATGTCATTGAATAAGTGAGTAGCTCAGCGTTCTTCTACCAATAAAATAAAATCGTATTTTTTTCTCGAGTGCATTCAGACACTAAATTGCCTGGGCGCTAAAGAAACAGCCTATTCCTCCTCTGATTTCCGGGCCATAAAGACATAGAAGGAAACGAAAAGGAAGACATGAGCTATGCTTTATAAAAGGGCCATGCAACCATCAGAAAAGAGCCCAGATCGAGACAGAGAACAGCTCTGGGACCAATGGAAGCGCCATGCAAAGGAATATTTCAATTGGAAGAAAGTTTGTGGCAGGTAGTTTGTCGAATTCCCATGGGCGTTATCTAAGACCCACTCTTTTATACGTGGTCACAACCTGTTGGATGACGGTAAACAAGACTCTGCCCAGAGCCAAGCTGGAACGGCTGCAGCAGACGGCTGCCCTCAAAATATTTAAAATTTATTTTTATATTTTCCACCGGTGGCCTTCTCAAGGGGTTCCGCGTAAGTGGAACTATGGGCTTGACAACCACGGGGTACCCGGTCAAAGGCTTCCCCAAACTGCTAATTGGTACTGAAGTGCTGGCAGTTCAGTGCGCTGATCAAGATATTTGAATGGATCCGTCGAGCTTTAGAGCACCGTGGAGTTAGGTGTGTCTCGGCAGGTACCCACGGAAAATATCAACCCACGTTGTTTCCACCGGTGGATGTATATGGAAAATTTCTTAACGGTTGTAGTGCTATAAGGTTAAATGTGATCCAATCGTTGATCGATTTCATATTCGGACAAGCAAACTGGAAACTCTGTCGAATAGCCTGTGAAAACTAGATTTTAATACTCTTCTACGCTGTTTGCACAAAAAAACATTTCTTAAGAATCCCAAGGAGGAACAAATGGAAAGGTACCATAGACTGAGGCTCAGGGCCGACTGCTGTCTATACAAATAGCTTCAAGCTAAACGAAAGAGTAGGCAGCGAGATTAACTACAGTAAACTCACAGTAAACCCCAGTCTTCGCTTATCGGACCATAGTAGCAGACAGTCCCAACTAACCGCCATAAGCGAGGTAAGTCGGTGGCTCATAGTTTCTGCTCGTCCAGAACGGCCTTTCACTCACTACATACATATTCTGTGTGACAACCAGATTGCTATTAAATCCCTAAAGTTCAAAGGAACAACCTCCAAAGTAACCATCGAATGAAGGGCTTTCAATATGCTAGCATCTAAATGCTCCTTGGTTTTTGTATGGGAACACACCTGTCGGTCTACCAGACAAATCTGGACAAAAATCTATGAAAATTTATCTAAATCACTGACTCGGCTTGACCACTTCTCCCTCACAATAGTAGTCGAGGTAATAACCGAGAACTTCGTTATAGGTACGCATGGAAAGAGATTGGGATATCCGACCAACGGTTTTTGTAATAGAGTCGAGGAAGAAGTGGGGGGCATCGAACTCTATTTTTGGCACTGTCCCATCCTGGTCAAGATGCGCAACAAATCCTTTAGATATTTTTTAGCCGAGTTCAGCTCAGCGAACATTCTCGACTTTGGTATTATGTACATATTTGTATCGTCCGGACCCGATTTTCGGATTACTAGTTTTACCTAGGCTAAACTAGTTCGACCTACATGCGATAGGATAAGCCAGAGTTCGACTCTTGAGAATAACCCGTTGAAGTTTGGCCGAAGACCGTGAATGCCGAAATAAGTTACTGCGGACTACGTAGCCGGAATAGGGCTGCTTTCTCCTATCGGGCTTAGGCTAGACCCGTTTGTAAAACTACTTTGTCCGACAATCGGATTTGGCTAGTAGCATATATGTATATATGTTTAAAGCGCAATTGGTGGTTGAATTTCTAAGGGGAAGGACGGAAGTGCCTCTGCGCTCTTGAACGAAATCAGGCACTCTAACCTAACGTTGCCAAGACGGTGTAACGCTCTTCAATTCCGGCGTAGTTATTCAATTTGGTCGTAGCTAGCCAGCCTTACCGAAATTCAAAGTTATTTTTAGGTCACAGTGCTCTAAGCGCTTATAGTAAAAATAGTAAAAATATCACGTCATACTTTTGTCAAGTCTTTTTAGTTTCGATTTCTACTACTCTCACAAATAACATAATCTTTCACAGTTTACTCCACGCTCTCAGGCCTCTAACGTTTAGTTGGTGACGGTGACCTTAATTAAGGTGACTCTCTAATTCGTACACCTCCAAAATTGGGTATTGATATTTATATTCGGGTATGTATACCGTGTACTCTCAATGCTTTGTGTTTCTGAAATTCTCAACTTGTTCATGTTTTTTACACTTGATTTGCGTGTTCCTGTATGATGTATTTGTGCGTGTTTAGAATGAATACCTAAGGTTCCACATGAAATAGAAAGATCGGTAGTATGAAAATGCTTTTCAGAAGGATATCCTAGCAACTAAGACTACGGGATGACTTAAAAATGATTGCACTAGAGCAAAATGTATGAATATGTAATTGCCAATTGGCGTAGAGTTTTTTGTCATTTTGCACTGCGTGTAAGTATGTTTGCATGTAAGTGTAAGTGGCTAAGTATTTATTTTGTGATCGCTTGATGAGTATTTGCTGATGATTGTGATTTTTGTCAACAATTCAATTATCCAATCAATAAACTATTTAAAAAACAAAAGCCAAAATATGTATCACGCAATGATGATCAATAAACGCAGTCACATAATGAATCGACTTAAACGCTTTTTGTTTTCAAATGAACGCATTCCATAGAAAGTACGCGAAGCAATAGATGATGAAGAATAGTTGTAAGTACTATGAGTATATTCGGGCGCGATTAGCGTGTCAAAGACTATACCTTAACGACTTTGTTGTTGTTATTGGTGCCGCCTGTGTAGTACGCACAATTTGGGTGGTGCTTCTTGCCGTCGTACGTGCCGATGTCCTTGGCGCTGCTGTAGTCGTCCTTGTCTTCACTGTTGTTGTGGGGTTGCCACGTTGTGAGAACGTACTACTTCGGGTTGGCGCTGTACCTCCCCGACTTGTAGGTAGTTCAACAAAATTTGTTGCAGTCGGTTTGTATATTTTGTTAAATTCATGCCCGTTTGGTGTTGAACCGATTACGCTATATTCGTCAACGTCTTGTGTCGCCACCAATTTGGGTGCATAGGTGGTGTAACGTGACGGCTGCTCATAGAGCGCGCGATCGGTATTTAGACCGTACGTAGGCGGATCATCATACAACTCGGCGCTATTCTCGTAGGCGGTATCGTAAATGGGCGCATCATCAAGAGCAGGTGGTTCGGTAATAAAAATTTTACGCGCATCGCTAATCGGTTGACGGTGTGGGCGTGGCGTTGTTGGTGCCGATCGCGGTGGTGGTGGTGGTGGTGGTGTTTCAATGGTAACAGGCTCACTGTTTTCGAGTGTTTTTTGTTTTTTTGTTTTGGTTTTTTCGGTATGTGCATGTGTATTGGTTGTTTAATTCATTAGGGTAGAGTGGAAGATTTGGAACGGTATTGTAATGAAGGAGATACAGTAAACAATTTTGAATAGTTAAAATAATAAAACGCAAAAGTAATTTTGATGTTCACAAATAAATAAATGTGTAATTGTGCGTGTGAGAATGAGCGTGTGCAATTGCATGTTGTTGTTGTTGCTGTTGTTGATGATGTTATTGCGTGACATGTGAGACCTACAGTGTTGAAATTTCTAAAAAAAATACCCTAGGGGTACACTTTTAGTATGAATGCGAGCATAAGCTCTGCTTCGGACATTACCTGCGGGGGCCAGGTTGCAATTTATGGGATGTTTTGTGAATTTGAATGCTTTTTTTTATGATGTGAAGTAGGTTTTATGAAAATCTTATATATTTCCTTAAATAATTCTGGGTATGTTTACTGGCGCGCACACATACATAAATACTTGCTGTTAAAGACTTATGTTATGCTTATGTTTATGTTTATATGACTGTATATGACAGGCAGCTCTCAATTAGGTAAGTCGGTTAAATTTGTTAATCAAATGTTAGATGATTTGGTTATGAAAATAAAGTATTTTAAATGCATTTTAAAGGTTATTTATTGTTGTTTATGTGAATGATTTGTGCAAGAAAGCATTGGAGTACTTACCTCAGTGGCGGACGTGTCGGCTGATCATACACATTATCCTGCTCGATCTGTCGGAGGAAGAAGAAGTAGTTATAAGATACGCCAAATCAAAGGAAAAGAGAAATAAAAAATATGCAATATAAATCAGGAACCGTAACGGTTATGATTTTTATAATAAAAATCACAATTAAACTGCCAAAATTGGATTAAAATTTTTCCGATGAAATTTAACTTTCAATTTTGGATTTTTACTTTTTCGATCAAAGATTGATTCATACCATAAATATTCAAATATCATTTTTTAGATGTGAATAGGGTTTAAAATATTTAAAACGGTCTTAAATTGATCGAAAAAATAGAATCTAAAATAGCGATTATTTTTGATCGGAATAAGTTAATAGTAAAATAAATATTTTTAAAACAAGCTTTCGGGGTTTCCAAATATCTCGACTCTTGCGCCACCTTACGGAAAAATGATTACTGAAGTTATTCCTTTTAATATAGGTAATATAGCATATATTATAAATATGAATAAATACAGGTTTTTGTGGAGTCTCTAGCCCATCAGGAGGTAGGTTAAAAATTAATTTCAAGATTTAAGCAAAAAAAAAAACATTTATGTAAAAAACAAAAATACCAAAAACACAATTTTGCAATGTCCTGACCGCATAGAAACCTAGACAATGACAGCATCTAATTAATCGCAGTTCGATGCTCTCGGAGTAAACAGGTAACAGGCGTTGTCCATCCGTAGTATGCTTGCTTTTTCCTCTGTTGTCCTCTTTTTAAGTATCACGAAGGCAATGTGGGCTGTTTAGGATATCAGCCCCCCAAAGGATGCACACTTCCATGATCTATACAGGTTTGGAATGACAGAAACTCAAACACAAATATGGAAAGTCTTATCTTCGATTCCATTGCAACTTTTAGCTTTTGACTGAGTGGTCAAAAAATCTCAATACCGAGCGTTCTGATTAGTCCCCAGTGGGTATCCATTACCTTCTGCTGTCTATATTTGAAAGAACTTCGGCGGAAGCTTATATAGCATCCTAGTCTAGATGAAGCTGTAAGATACCTTTTGTATATTTGCTTCATCAGATTAAATTTGAGTCTTATGTGCGAGACAAGTTGAAAAACAGATGAGCTCCTTCTCACCCTTCTTTCCCATAAAATCATGTCTGTATTGGTTCTCGGGAGCGTGGGGAGATTATGCACTTTACCAGCAAACAACAGGGTTCTCCTTTTCTGGGTTAAGGGCCATAAGATATAGAAGGAAAGCGGCAGCAATAACCCCAATAGGTCTTGAGCCCTTCCTTTCAATAGAACCATTGACTATCGGAGAAAAGTTTAGGAGAGAAGAAAGAACAACTAGAGAACACGATTGGAACCAAGTCACTGGGAGGATTGTAAGAGTTCAATAAGGAAACACACCAGTACGATAAGCGCATTAACCTCCCGATGGTTAACCCGATGTTTATATGTCTACTACACGTGCTAAGGATTTTTTCCAGAGAAAAACCACTGTACCAATTATCAAAGGCCACAGGATAGAAACCATATTTGTGTTAATTTCAATTCAATTTCAGTGGTATGCAAGGGTGGCTCCAAATCATGTCGTCATAATTTTACCTAGTCCTTACAGAGTTAACGACATTTCTGTGATATTATGCATTTTTAGTGTTTCTCCGGAGAGTATAAGTAAATTGCGGCGCTGTGCGATGGTGGGTGATTCGTACAAAACTACTTTGTACACTTTAAACTAATAGCAAGACAAATTTCGGCTGCGTCCGATTGCGTCCATTTCGTCAATTTTCCATAGACTGAAGGCTTCAATACCGGCAGATCCCTACAAAACTAGTAGGAAAGGTAGTAAACGTATCTCGACTTTGCTAAAATTTGCTATTTGAACCACTTTCACTAATGGAAAGAAAAAGTATGAAAACTGGTAAAAATTGGTGAACTGCCACGCCCACTACAATAGGGGGCGGATATGGTAAATGTTATCCAATTCCAATGAAATTCGGTTTGCAACTTGGATTAAGCTAGGAAGACATACATACATTTGAAATATAGGGGAAATCGGACAACTGCCACGCCCACTAGCTATTCGAAATTTGTATTGTAATGGGGCACGGACTAGTAACGAACCTCCAAAATAGCAAAAATATGGTGCAAGATATACTTTTGCATAAAAGCCGAGAAATATAAAGAATATGTGAATTGGCGACCAACCACGGCCTCCGTGCCCCACACTTGTGGGCGGGAATGGGAAATACTAGTATGGATGGAGGGGGGCGTGGTTGGTGCCAATCCACACAATTTTCTATATATCTCGGGGCTTTAATGCAAAAATAGATCTTGCACAAAAGTTTTGCTATTTCGGAGATTCGTTACTAGTCCTTGCCTTATTATAATCCAGAATTCGGATGGCTGGTAGGCGTGGCTGTTGACCGATTTTCCAATCTTTCAGATTTTTGCCTGCCTGCCTAAGTTACAAATCGAATTTCATTGAAATCGGATAAAATTTACCATATCCGCCCCTTGGTGTAGTGGGCGTGGCAGTCCGCTAAATTCAACCATTTTCATATTTATTCGTTACTGGGCAAAAGTACTCCACGTTATAATTTTCAGCAAAATCGGAGCACACTTACTACTCTTTGTTACATTTTATATGGAGCTCTTCCACTGTGCATCGTCTTTCTAGTAAGCTATAAAATCTCTAAACATAGGAGTTCTGAATATTCCTGATCATTTCATAGTTCTAATCTTTTCTTATTCATTTTTAGTTTTCTACACTAACTACAGCCAGACCTTGTATGCGGTGTTTTATTCTAAATACAAAACATATTTTAGTCTGAATCCTTCTAAGCTCAGTTAGAAAAACAGTCCTAAAGATCCTCTGCGGGTACCTTATACTCTTACCAGATAATATTTTCTTGCAAACAAACTTATTTAAAAGTGGATATATGTATTAAGTTTCTCTCACTAACCTGTGCAATCAGATCCTCATCATAGTCTGTATTATAGATCAACGATTGTTGATTATTGTTGTAAGTGGGCTTCTCTTGTGGCTTATAAGTCTCTCGTGGTGCTGGTGTTGTCAATATTTCCAAGGTTCGATAGGTCGATTGTTGAACAGGTTGTTGACGTACAGGCTGTTGGTGTTGTTGTTGTTGTGGTGGTGGCGGCTGATATTGTTGCTGCGGTGGTGGCTGTTGTTGCTGCTGCTGCTGCTGCTGCTGATATTCTATATCCCTATACAAATCAAGATCATCATCATAAACTGAGTAATATTGTTCATAGGAGCTTTGCTCCTGGTTGGATTGTTGCGGTGCTTGTTGCTGTTGCTGCTGATGTTGTTGGTGTTGTTGTTGCGCATGTTGATTATGCAACCCAACTAATTGCTGTTGCTCATCAGCCTGTTGCTGAGTCTGATGCAATTGATGATGATGTTGTTGTTGGTGGTGTATGTTTGCTTGTGACTCATAGCCCGCATGATTTAATAATGCCGTTGTGTTATAGTAATTACGATTGGGATTTTGTATGGATGTTGATGGTATCGCCTCCACAATCACGCCAGTCGGTGGACGTTGTTGTTGTTGTTGCTGTTGCTGTGCATAATGACTGGGCGGCAATTGCGATTGTGGTGATGATGGCGAAGATGATTCGGGTCTGCGTTGTGATGTGTGTGATGCATTGTTTGTTTGGTATTTTGTAGTTTTTTTTGTTTGTACACCGTGAAATTTTTTTATTTTTTTTTGTGGAGTGATGAATTAGCGGTTAATTATTTTAAATATTTACAAGTATATAACAATTGTTTAGTAATAATTGATTTGTTTTTTTTTTTTGTGTAAGTAAACAAATGAGGATGCAAAATTTCGATTTTTGTTTCGAATAAAAATACGAGTATGTATGTATATATTTACAAAAGAGAATATGAAAACGACAAAAATATATATATTATTTTAGGATTAGCTTTAAAATAACGACTTAGAACAAATGGAGAGCTGCACAGCAGGGTTAATTTTGGTGATTGGTGTGTGAAATTGTGTGAAAGAGATGCATATATATATACATATATATAATATGGTATATATTTATAAGAGAAACATGCATATAGATGACAGTAAGATTTACAGTAAAGAGAG